AGAATGCCCCTTACCAATGGTGGTTAGTGGGAAGAATGTCCCATTACAGTGGTAGTCAGAATGCCACTTTTCACACATATCTGTAAAAAAATAAGTCAAGGCAACTGGACCGGCTGTATTTTTCTTGAAGACGTTTCACTGGTCATCCAACCATCTTTCTCAATTTTTTCTGGGAGCAGATCGTGGCAGCCTGCCAGCCTAATTTAAACACACAGAAGGTATTTCCAACATGTTTGAAACCAGCTGAAATAGGACTTTTGAGTCTTTGAGGATCTTTGAGGATATTTGAAAATGAATTACTTCACAGTGCAAGCAGCTAAAGGTGAGTAAGGGCTTGATTTAAATCTCTTTTACTGCTTGTTAGGTATATGTAAATAGCTGGTTGGATGACCAGTGAAACGTCTTCAAGAAAAATACAACAAGTCCAGTTGCCTTGACTTATTTTTTTTTACAGATATACCATGACCTGGATGAATGAGAATCTCCAGACACTTTCCGGACAGCCAAAAAGATCTTTGGTGCCATATCGCTGACTCTGCCAAGGGGCATTGAACCTAGAACCAGGCAACTTTAGCAGGGAGGTCAGTGAGCCACAGCTCAAGGAACCCCTAGCAACCTCGGGAGGAACCCTAATGTTCCATGGAACCCTAGTTGAGAATGGTTGCTGTAACCCATGGCTTGTAGACTCAGATGTTGGCAGTGGCCTCTAGAATTCTTACATAGACAAAGCATTCCATGTGCTGACAATCTTTATGCAGATTTGAACATTTCCTGTAAATATTTCACCTTCCTGCCTTACGGTATTCAATCTGGAAGAATGGAGGATTTAAGAAACTATAGACAAAAAGGAAAATCATTCCTTAACACCTAATACTACCAAGGTCACATGGCGCCGAGGTCAGCAAGTTCACTAAATTTGCCTTTGTAATTCTTCCAGGATACCTATCATGCAGATTAAGCTGGGCTATCAGAGTGTCTCCGGGTACCACTGCAACCTCTTACTGGGAAAGCTCTATTACACAGATTTACATCTCTCTGTATGCAACAGTTCCAGTAGAGCAGTGACGTGCAGTACCTCTGGTTCCGGGTGAGGCATTCCCCAGCCTCGCCCCCAGCACGTCTTGCCCTGCCCCCACGCCCAAGCCAGTGTGAAGGAGGAAGGGAGGAGCCTCCCTGTCTCTCACTTGCTCATCATTGCTGAGGCATCGGGATCGATGGCCTCTGTTTTTTTTTTTTTTTTTT